GGACTGTAGAGGAGCAGAAACCAGCAATAACCCAGATCTGAATCCTCATGGAAGTGCTTCCAGCTCTTCAGAGACTGAAGACAGTGAGGATGATGAAGAGGAGGATGGGAACAGTCCTGATTCTCAGGTGGAACCCTTGTCAGACTCTGGATCAGAAACTGAAGACAGTGAGGATGATGAAGAGGAGGATGGGAACAGTCCTGATTCTCAGGTGGAACCCTTGTCAGACTCTGGATCAGAAACTGAAGACAGTGACAAAGACTGGAAGGAGAGAAGGGCCCCTGAGTCAGGTGTAAACTGTGTCAACAACAGTTCCAGCTGCTCTGAGTGTGGTAAACAATTTCTCCGCAAGCAGTCTCTTCAGAGACACATGATACATCATTCAACAGTAAGACGTTCAAACTGTTTGAGTCATAAGAAAAGTGTCAGAAAGAAGAAACATCTAGAGTCACACAGAGAAGTCCAGACACAACCCAAACCATTTAGTTGTGATGAGTGTGGTAAAATATTTACCTGGAAATCGAGATTAAATTCACACATGAGAGTCCACACAGGAGAGAAACCATTTGTATGTGAGTACTGTGGACAAAGATATAGTCAGAAGGCTAATTTAAACTCACACCTGAGTGTCCACACAGGAGAGAAACAGTTTGTATGTGAGAACTGTGGAGAAAGATTTAGCTATAATGCTAGTTTAAAGACACACATGAGAGTCCACACAGGAGAGAAACCATTTGTATGTGAGCTGTGTGGACATAGATGTGGACGGATGGGTAGTTTAAACCAACACATGAGAGTTCACACAGAAGAGAAACCGTTTGTATGCGAGGACTGTGGACATAGATTTAATGATRTTATTAGTTTAAACTCACACRTGATAGTCCACACAGGACAGAAACCGTTTGTATGTGAGGACTGTGGATATAGATTTAGACATAAGGCAACTTTAAACTCACACATGAGAGTCCACACAGGACAAAAWCTGATTGAATGTAATGACTGTGGACAAAGATTCAGACATTTGGCTAATTTAAGCAAACACATGAGAGTCCACACAGGACAGAAACTGTTTGAATGTGAGGACTGTGGAAAAAAATTTAGTTATAAGGCTAGTTTAAACTCACACATGATTGTCCACACAGGACAGAAACCATTTGAATGTGAGGACTGTGGAAAAAATTTTAGTTATAAGGCTAGTTTAAACTCACACATGAGAGTCCACACAGGCCAGAAACCGTTTGTATGTGAGGATTGTGGAGAAAGATTTAGCTATAAGACTAGTTTAAAGAGACACATGAGAGTCCACACAGGACAGAAACTATTTGTATGTGAGGACAGTGGACAAAGATTTAGCTATAAGGCTAGTTCTAAGGCCAGCATTTCCCCTGCCATTATTCAAGGGGGGAGGCTCACCCCGTAAACGAGATCACCCGCCCCTCAAAAAWTTTCTTGGCATGTAGTCATTTTTATTTAAATAACTCCAGATCAAGTCGAGAGCATTTTTGCCGTCACTGCTCCTCCTCCACCTCTCATCTGTAAGCGCAGTCTGTATGTGCGCCATTGTTTTTATTACTTGGTGGAAATGATTTTCCTAGGAAATGCAGCCTCGTGGGGACCAAAGCCTGGTTCCCACGACTTCGGAGGCGGGTTTTGGGTGGAGGTGGGGGATAGCTTTAGGATCAAGGTGTGAATTGAGTTTAGGTWAGTTTTTCAATTCAAATTTTTTTTTTCAATTCTAAAAATTTTATTCTTCAGGCGAGGCAAGATGGCGGAGGAGTAAGACGTGTCGCGTGGGCTCCCGCTCTGAGTTGTTCTGTTTGTGGTTCTCTACTAAATGTCCTTGCTGTTTTGAGCATTTGGTCAGTCCGGACTCGACCCCTGAGCGATTCTTGCTTGGAAGGGTAGAAGAATGGCGACAAACTCGAGGAAAGGCAAACATCCTAGCTCTGCGGCTGTTAGGCCCGACGCCACCTCAGAGCAGACTGCAGCTAAAGCCGGATCTTTGGCGCCTCCCTCTCCCTCCTGTGGCGAGGTGGACACACTCTCCTTGAAGTCTGACATTCTTGCCGCTATAAAAACGATCTCTCAGCTGTGATCAAATCCGAAATAAAAGCGGCTTTGGCTGAAGAGTTTATTCTTATTAAAGGAGAGCTACAAGCAGTGAGAGCGGAAGTGGCTAACGGCACAATGCTACTACGCGCCGACCTGGACCACCTTAAGCAGAGCATAAAAGAGGTGGAGGACGGCTTGTCAACCTGGTCCGATGAGGTTGTTACTCTACGCACCACCGTCTTGGAACTGAAAGAATAAGTCRATGGGCTCAAAAAGAAGTGTGACGATATGGAAGGGCGCATGAGAAGGTGCAATGTGCGGATTATTGGAGTCCCTGAGATGCCGGAGTCCAGCTCCACTTCAGCAGTGGCTAAACTGATAGCAGAGGTTCTACAGATGGACAAAGCGCCACTGGTTGACCGAGCACATCGCTCTCCAGGTGGGAACAAGTCAGGCGATAAGCCGTGGGTTATTGTTGCTAAGCTGCACTATTAACAAGAATGTGTGGAAATACTGCTTCGGGCGCGGAGCTGCGGCCATCATCGTTTTAAGGAGGCACCGATTATCATCACATCTGACTACACTGCGGCTGTGGCCAGGGCTCGGGTGGCGTTTATGGATGTGAGGAGGCTTCTTCGCAACCGACGAGATGTTTGCTACGGCTTGCTTTTTCCTGCACGGCTCCGCATCTTTCATGGGGAGGAAAACAAGGAGTTCCTGGATGCCAATAAAGCAATGGACTACGTTAAAAAGAGGATCATCTCGGCGACGGACAACGAGGACCGGCTTGACCGCAGGTCCAGTCCTCATCAATCCATTATGACTGTCAGGTTGTAATGAACCTTCCAACTTTATGTCCCGCGCTATATCTTGATTTAGTTTTAGACTTTATTCCGAGGGACAACATTCCTCTTTTTGTTCTATGTATGAG